CAACAATACTACAGCGAGAATATAAGTTACGCCTTCTTTCTTTGCGTGAACGTTTGGGCGGCGTTATGCAAATCTTCTCACATCGTGACGTAGACATGTGGGGTGTGTTAGAACGAGCCGTTTTAGGTAGGCGTGGCTGACTCTTAACTTTTATAAAGAATATCTCTTTGGATTTGAGACTTTAATCTTTGCAACTTTACAGATCTTCTTTATGCACCAAGAGCTTGTAACACTCCAAAGAGAAAGGAAAAATTGAAATCGCATCATATGACCCCTTTAAATTTTTTGTAAAATCATTCCAGCTCGGTTTGAGAAAATGTGTTTTTTCATACAGATGTCACGTACATGTGGAAGAAGCTGCCTGGTCCTGTGTTTCGCTCTAGAATGATGTAATCTCTCTGGCTCCTGGACAGAAAGTAGCCCATCTGGAGCCCTGCAGGTCCAGCTCCCAGCACACAGTACTCATGGCTCACGCTGTTATTACGGCCATGAAGACCAGAACCAGAACCGGACAGGACCAGGGACAGGACATACAGGAGCCTGGAGAGAGGCTGAATCACACTCATGAGGCCTGGGGATGGAAATAAAAACAGATTAAAGCCAGAAGCTTTACCTTAAGATCATTAAAGAGAAATAATCACGCGCTCGCTTCTATTTTATAGAAACTAAAACTAATTGCAGATGGTTACATGCAGGAGTAAGCTTTTAAACTATATAACTATTTTACTTTATATAATAAAGAATATACAATATATTCTTTACACAACTAAGCCTAAAGGCAAACACAGTAATTGAGAATAAAAATAAAAACTACAAAATAAACAATATATAATACATTTACTTATTTACTGATACAGTCAATTATGGCTCCTCGTTCCAATACTGAGGAGGCGGCAACATCCAACTCATGTAAGACAGCGAAAAACACTGTATACTGTAAATGCATTGGCATTAAATCAACATACCGTCAACTACAGCTGCTGCTGCGAACCTTCAGCAACAGAAAATAGGGAAATAAACAGCAGGCATTTTGTAAACTACATCTTTGCGATTAGACGGTTTTCTTAACATCTTCCACAGGCAGGAGACACAGAGCGTCCTTTTGACGTCACGAACCAGTGAGAGCGTAAATGGGCGTGGTTAAATCAAACAGTTCACGCCTATGGTTCACGCCCACTTAAATGCTGTTCCTTTGTTCTTATGGCATCAGGGAATTTGTTTTTATTTTCTATAAACACTGAAAATAAAAAAGTTACTTTCATTTATTTTTTTATTTTTTTTAAGTTATATTAAAATAATTTGATCATGCCCTTATCATTTATTTTTTTCTACTTCTCAAATATTTTTCAACATATATATGTTGTGTGTGTGTGTGTGTGTTCTTCTGTGATGCATGTAGATTTCCCTCCTGGACATTGTTTGTAGACTAATTAAAGAAAATAATTTAAAAAATAAATAAAATTAATTTAAATAAAATGTTAATTTTCTTTTTATATAAAGTATTATTTTTTATTTAAATATTCTTTATTTAATCAATTACATTTTTTTTTGCAAAAAATATGAATTTTTAATTGAATGAAAAAATAAATGACTTTGTAGTCATTGTAGTCTTTTCTCAGTAAATAACGGTGTGCATTGTCATGGTTTTGAGGTTTTAAGGTAGTGAGAACTTCACGCGTCACGTGTGCCTTGATAACCAATCACATTATAGCCTGGACGTCATTGAATTTCAGTCAGAGTTGTGCGACACTCAATCGCCGTTTACGGATACCATAGGAATGAATGAGAAGTGCCGTAAGCTGTTTCGCACCTGTCGCAAAAAGTCAGTGACTTCTCTTATAAAACGACATTTTTTTCGGTGTAAACTCTAAAAATAGTTCAATCCAAAACTAGTACTTAGTGTAAAACATGTTAAAGATTAGCCGATAGGCTGTCGATTCATTAAATGACAAGCTGTTTCCTCAAAAAAGCTGTTTATTCTGCGTAGTGAAGCCTCTAATCCATTGACATCCATTCAAACAAAACGGCCTCAGGTCTCCTTCCCTGCATAACCGTCAAAACGGAAGCGTTTGCCATTACGTTGTTTTTGGCTAAAGGTTGCAGGCTTGCCTTCCAGTGGCTTTGGTAATGCTTCACAGTCTGCTGTGTCATGTTTAGAAACACCAATAGTGAAACGGCACAGTCATGAAATCATAGCTCATATTTAGACTCTCACAACACAGGAACATTTTTACATTTTTCTGGGCATCTCTTGTTGAATTATTAGACTGGAAAGAAGCAAAGTTGTTACCTCACAAGTAGGCTACTGCATTCCCAATAAAATAAAATAAGTTTATTTCTAGATCCGAATTCATAAAATATATCCTTTTATATCTTTATATAGGTAAGCACCTTGATTCTTGATTCAAAAGCAAAAATTCTCTAATTCGCAGCCTTCTTTCTCACAGAAATTAATTGAAATCGAAGCATTCCTTAAATTTTAGGTTGACTAAAAACAAGTAATATATATATATATATATATATATTTCTTAAATATCATGATGATTGTTTTGGTAATACCACAGATGCATAAGGTTTTCCTCTGTGTGTGTTTATTATTATTATTATCTTATTTTATTCATTTATTTTGTAGGTGAAACATTGAAAGGTGTGATATTTTTTTACTTTGTTTATCCTGTAGAGGTTCTATATGTTCTGCCTTTTATGTATGTTTAATGTTTTATGCATAATAATAATAATAAACAGAAACATTTTTATCTTTATAAGACTTAATACATTTAAAAATACACTTATAAACACTTTAACCCTATAAACAAACGGATTCAAACAACTTATGCTGCCTGGTCACACTGTGGGTTTGTTTAACCTCATGTGACTCGCATTGCTCTGTCTTGAGAAACTGCTGAGATTTCGGAGTCGAGAAAACGTCCAGTCATGGTTAGTATAAGCATGTGGTACTACCTCAACATTTTCACTTCCCTTCTGGAATCCAGTGACTCAGATGGGAAGGAGAACGTATAAAAATGAAGTGAGGCGGTCAGGGAAGTCAAAGCCACAGTGAGCGCTGGGAACACAAGACAGGACGACCGATCTACAGCCAGACACACAGCAGGACATCTGCAGCACAAGTAGGAACATGACAAAACTTCATTTATTAATCTGTTACAGGGTACAAAGGTGATTTGATAACAAATGTCTGTTGTTTTAGGGATGGAGTCCATGAAAAGCAAACCAAGAGAAGCCACTGGCAGGTAAAATGCTTTGTATTGTCATTCATTTCATAGTGATTACGAATGCATTTCAAGCCTGAAGTAAATCATATCAGAAATACGAAGCACTCATGTGTAGCAATGGCAGATGTATGGATGTTGCAGTGCTAGATTATAGGCTCAGACAGTGAGTCAGTGATTCATAAAAGCTTAAGTTTTAAGAAGCTTATCTATTTAGTGAACTACTTGTGAGGGATTGTGGCATGTTTTCTCCACAGTGATCTGTCTGAGCAGATAAAAGCAGCCACCAAAGACAGTCACGTTCGAGCTGAGAACACACAACTGATGCTGAACTACCAGAAAGGACAGATCACGCAAACACAGTACAAGGTAAAACTACAGAAAAATCAATCAACTTTGGGGGGGGACTATTATATATGAAGCAATAACGGGAATGTTTCAGAACATTCTGGGCATAGAGGAGAAACAATAATGTACAGTATGTGGAAAATAATGTGTTTTTTTAACTTTAAACCGCATAAACACATTTCATTACACCAAATACACAAAATAATGTTCTTTTTAGCAGCATCATATGACCCCTTTAAATATGAACAAACAAAAGGTTCCAAAAATGATCATGAAAGTACATGCAACATGGCAGTACTATGGTTTTAAATTCATTTAAAATGTAAAATTTAAATATACCATGGTAAAACATTGTATGCCAATACCTTAGAGTCCTACAAAAGTACCATGGTAATATAGTAACAAATATAGTAATCATTCAGTGTTATGGTATATATCGAAGTACCATAGTAATACCATCTTAGGGCTGATAACTGATTATTTCTTTGATTATTCAATTTACTGGATAAAAATATTTTACTTAAACTTATTGAGGGGAAAACATATTTTGCACCATTGCTGAATATTATTATTATTATTTGAGTTTCTTCTGTTGAACACAAAATACATTTTGAATAATTTTGGTAACCAAACAGTTTCGGATAGCCATTGACTTTTATTGTATTTTTTTAATATATACTATGGAAGTTAATGGCTACCAGCAACTGTTTGGTTACCAACATTCTTCAAAATATCTTCTTTTGTGTTCAACAGAAGAAACTCATACAGATTTGGAACAACTTAAGGCTGAGTAAATTATGAATTTTTTTTATTTTTTTTGGAAGAGGGGTGAACTAACCCTTAATACATCAGAAGTACAGCCACAGTAATCTTTTAAAGACTAAAAGCTAACTTTAACTGTGTTAAACATATGTAAATGTATGTTTCCAGCTCCTGCTGTGTTCTCTGTATGAGATCTACCGAGCCCTCGAGGCAGAGCTGGACAGGAACGCCGATCATCCCGCAGTTCAGCCCATCTACTTCCCTCAGGAGCTGGCCAGACTGGAGACTCTGGAGCTGGACCTGGAGCACTTCTTCGGACCCCACTGGAGGAAGAGGATAACAGTGCCTGCCGCCACTCACAGATACACCCAGAGACTGAGAGAGGCTAGTCTGGGAATGATTTCTTTAAGGAAATGAAACTGCATTTACGTTCCAGTGATTCTCATTCTAACTCTGTGCTCTCGGTTCCCCTTTAGATTGGCAAGAACAGCCCCGATCTTCTAGTGGCACATGCATATACGCGCTATCTTGGTGATTTGTCAGGAGGACAGGTGCTGGGCAAAATCACCCAGAAGTCCTTGGGACTGAGTGGGAACAAGGGAGTTTTCTTCTTCTCGTTTCCTGGAGTGACGAGCGCCAACAGATTCAAGCAGCTGTACAGGAGCAGAATGAACAGCATTGAGTTAACAGAGCAGCAGAGACGGGAAGTGCTGGACGAGGCCACCAGAGCTTTTGAGTTCAACATTGAGGTGAGCATTAACATCTTACACTTGTATGTATAAAATTGATCCTTTTATTTAGCAAAGATGTATCCGTTTGATCAAATGTGACAGTAAAGTTATTTGTGTTAGATTTCTATTTCAAATAAATGCTGTTCTTTGAACTTTCTGTTCATCAAAGAAACTAATGTATCAGTTTCCACAAAAATATTAAACAGCACAACTGTTGTCAACATTGATAATAATAAATGTTAAGCATCAAATCAGCATATTAGACTGATTTCTGAAGGATCATGTGACACTGAAGACTGGAGTGATGGATGATGCTGAAATTTCAGCTTTGCTTCACAGGAATAAATTATGTTTTACAATATATTCAAATAGAAAACATTTTAAATTGTAATGTTTCACAATTTTACTGTTTTTACTGTATTTTTTGCTCAAATAAATGTAGCCTTGGTCGAACTTGACTGGTCAAAAACATTTTAAATCTTGCCAAGCCCAAACTTCAAAGGTTAATGCAATGTATGTGCCATTTTCAACAGGTTTTTGATGATCTTCAGAAAATGCTGAGCATCACAGAGGAAGCTTCAAGTGAGTTTCACAAAATACAAGTCATTAAATGCTTTGAAACAGTAACTATATGAGATAATGATACCATTTTGCTTTTTGTTTAGGTGGAAAAGGAAATGACGTCACATCCAAAACCTTCTCCAGCTCTCCAGCGCTTCAGTTCGCATTGGGTGTGGGAATCACTTTGGCAACGGTTGGAATGGGAGTTATATTCAAATAGAAAACATTTTAAATTGTAATGTTTCACAATTTTACTGTTTTTACTGTATTTTTTGCTCAAATAAATGTAGCCTTGGTCGAACTTGACTGGTCAAAAACATTTTAAATCTTGCCAAGCCCAAACTTCAAAGGTTAATGCAATGTATGTGCCATTTTC